TTGGGAGAAAAGAACAATGTTACCTTATTTTAGTGTCCTTTTAGGAATTTACTTACTGTTCTCACTTGGCAAGACCATTTAAGATTCCTATGCCCTGGCCTCGTCCTGGTAACATTAGGGGGAACCATTTAAAAGCATTAGGCTCTCTGTACAATAAAGCAGGCACGCGTAAGGAATTTCAGGCACTAAGAACTGGGTAGCTGGTTATGTTGTATCTCTAACGAGAAACTACATTTAAATGTGAGGAAAATTAATTCTTCAAAAATAGATTTCATAACTATATAAAATATCTACATGAGAAACAGAAAATCCAGACTTATCTAATGTGAGAGGAAATGAGTATTCTATTTAATTAGAAAGATGACGTGAAATTTCACCTACTGTAAGTCAGGAGGGGTGTCTGGAATACATCACAAGATTGCAGATTTTGCCTGTTTTTTAATAGCTCTTGAGGCCTATATAAGGATTTGAACCTAGATTATCCAAACTAAGTCTTGGATAAGCTTCTGTTAACACATCTACATATCTTTTTAAAAGAAAAAAATGAAGGCTTTAAGACACAATGAAATTACAACCTATTCTTATAGTGTTGCAACATTAACCATCTCTGAGAGAGATGTTTGAACTATCTGCCTATTCAATAAACCAGTAAAAGTTCATTTTAGGATTATTTTTATGTATTGTATGTATTTAATTTGCAAAGGAGAAAGAAATTTTATGGACAGAAAAGACTTTATATGGTGTCATCCCACTAGAAGGATATGAAGAAGACTCAGGTTTAATTCCAAGTTTTGCACTTAATAAGTTAAATGACTCTCAGGTTTTTATCTTAAGCTTAGGATGTCTGTATAGCTCCCTAACACTGCATATCTAGTCAGCTTGTTGTTGATTTCTAGCTTTCTGCATATGGTCAGGGAAAATGTTCTGTATGATTTGGTCTTTTAACAATTAATGAGACTTGCTTTATGATTCAACACGTCAATTTTTATAAATGATCTATATGTGTGTGTTTGAAGCAATGTGTATTCTCCAGTGAGATGAAGCTAGGTCAGGTTTATTAATCATATTATTTATATCTTGATAAAATCCCTTATTTATTTTTCACTGCTTCTATTAATTATCTAGGAATTTAAAAATATATTGTGACAAATTTGTAGACTTCTATTAGTTTTTGCTTCAATATTTAAACTGTGTTATCAGCTGATTAAAAATCTGTTATAATCCACTGGTGAATTCAATAAATCATTATACAGTTATCTTTTATCTTTAATAATTTTTTTTTGCCTTCATGCCTGTCTCATCCAATGGTACACCTATGTCATTTAACCAGTTTTCTCTTCATAGATATTTATGGCACATATTTTCAGTATGCTTTAACTTTCTAAACTTTCCAGATGTTTAATGTTTCTCTTGAAATTTCATGTGATTAATTTTTTCACCCTGCTTAACAATGTTCTAACTGGAGTATTTAGTTCACTTACACTAGCCTTTTAAACTACTTTTTAATTTCCTTTCTTGCCTCCCTTTGGTTATTTTTTAAGGTTATTTATTTATTTATTTATGCATACAGAACTGGGGTACAGGCCAGAGGTGCAAGGGTGGTGAGAGGATTCACCAGAGACAAGAGTGGGATACAGAACAGGCAAATTGGCAAAGCACGCTGCTGAGGGGACCAGTGGGCGGGTCGGGAGAGGTTGGCCATGCCATGTGGTCACCTCCATGGCAGGCGGGGATTGAACTCATGCTCAAGTGGCTTTAGCTTCTTAATGCTGTGCTTTAACCAGTTGTACCATCAGGGAGGGGGCCCCCTTTGGTTATTATTCTTGTAAATTTTCCTATGACTTTTTAAATTATCTTTTTAGCGAGCATTTTCTTTACAGTTTTAAAATCCATTTACAGATGTTATATTTGATCATTCTCTTCCACCAGTTTTATGAATCAATATATATTAGTTTAAGATATTCACCATAATGATTTATGCTAATCACCAAAAGTTCACTTAATATTCATTACCTTACAATTTTTTTCTTAAGATGAAACCTTTTTAGATTTGTTCTCTTAAATTTCAAATATACAATCAGTATTGTCCACTACAGTTAACATATGTTACATCCCACAATTTATCATATAATTGGTAATTTGTACCTTTTGACACTTTACCCATTTCCTTGACCACCTGTTTTTCAACTTGTTCTATGTTCCTGAGTTCAGTTTTTTGGATTCCACATGAGACTATACATTATTCATCTTTCTCTTTCTGACTTATAACATTCTATGTATATAACATAGTTTGAACACTATGTAATATTGAACTCCTTAATTTTGAACACATTCCAAAACTTTACATTTTTTAACTTTCTCTCCCCTGAATTTTGTATTTTTGATGTCTTATGTTATGTCTTGTATGTATTCCTTGACTAATTATTGTGATTTTAGTTAATATTACTGCTTTTGTCTTTTAATCTTCATGCTTCCTTTGTAAGTGATCCACTGTAACTGTATAATTTTCAAGGGAGATTTTTTTTCTTGTGTGTATTTGCTTATAGTGTTTTGTTTGTTTGTTTGAACTCTAAAGAAGTCCCGTTCATATTTCTTACAAGGCTGCTTTTGTATGATGAATTCCTATAGTGTTTGCTTATCTGGGAAACTATTAATCTCTCCTTCAATTCTGAATGTTAATTTTGATGGATATAGAATTCTTGTTTAGAGGTTTTTTTTCCCCTTTTAGCACTTTGAGTATGTCATGTTACCCTCTTGTGCCTTTGTTCTGGACTATCTTTTTTTTTTTTTTTTATTCATATAGAACTGGGGTACAGGCTAGAGATGCGGAGGGTGAGAGGATTCACCAGAGACAGAACGGGGAGCAGAACAGGCAGATCAACAAAGTACACTGCTGAGGGGAGCAGTGGGCGGGTCAGGAGAGGTCTGCCTCGCCATGTGGACTCCTCCGGAGCAGGCGGGAATCGAACTCATGCGGAAGTGGCTTAAGCTTCTCAGTGCTGTGCTTTAACCAGCTGCGCCACCTGGGAGGGCCTCTGGACTATCTTCTCGAGGCTATTCATATAACCTACACCCAGAGACAATATAGAGAGTATTTCACTCTAGAGGAGACAGTTTTGATTGCTATCCACTCTAATAAAGATGTCTCTCTCCAGAGCTTAATACCCATTATAAGAATTTGGGATCCCAGAGGTAAGGATTCCTCCCTTGTAATGCAACCCGCCTTGTATCTAGGTGGTTGGACCCTTTTCTCCTTGAACTGTAGGACTGGATAGCAGGATATTAGCACAAATACTCTGATGGACACTGCTCCAATGAGAGTAACAGTCTGATCCAGAAACTTAGAACTGGTGGGTACACTAAAATTTTAAAATTAATGAATAGAATTTTTATAAAGTAAATATCGCACCATCCCAAGTTTGGGTAACAACCAGAGCCAGGAGGTTGTTGAAGGTGAGGTCCCAACCATGTCCAGGTGCCCAGGGATGTTGGAGTGTCCACAGCCCAAGAAGAAGTGAAACCATATTGGTTTCATATCATTCACCCAGGATTGAAACTCAACCAACTTGATCAAACCGTGGTTGATAAACATCAGGATTGAAACTCAACCAACTTGACCAAACCGTGGTTGATAAACATCAGAACTGCACCCACTGAAAACCTCATTTGCATAAAGTGAATGTAACTTGTTCCTCACACTTACTTAAGCACCCTCCCTTCAAATTTTCTGGGGTATTCAGCTCAAGAGCTCCTCAAGGATATACCCCCTGGATGGCAGCCCCACATTTGCTATATTATCTGAGCTATAAAGCAAGAGCTGAACACAACTGCTAAGATACAACAGCGTAATACTCAAGCTATAAACACATCAGACAAGAAACTCTCCAAAGTTCTTGATAATGTCTCATCTGTTTTAGTGGCAGCGTTATTCTGAGCCAAATGTGAAACAGTTCATGTATCCTGACTCTTCCCAAAAGACCTTGTCATTCTGGAATTCAGTTCCTTTGGCTGCCTTCCCTGATAAGTGTAAGAAAAGTTCAATTTTTTTCTTCTTAAGGATGGAAGTAACATTTTCTTGCAGCTTTCTCTGTTTTGTGGAAGCACAATTCCCACGGTGTACCTGTTTGAGTATTTTCTGTTACTAACGGTAGACACTGATCTGTGAACTCTTATTGTGCAGTTTATACACACTTAATTAGTTCTTAAAAGGATTAGCTTGAGTGATAGGCTCCAGTAGTTTTGAGAAACAGTCCATGAAATATTTCATCATAAGCACTGAAAACAAGACCAAAGATGTTCACCTTCTAGCACATTTGAAACAGAAAAAGGTAAAAAGAAAAATCTGATTCATGAAAAATGTGTACGTGTACATATGCACTGGCCATGAACTATTAGAGGATCAGAAGGACATACAAGAAAAGTATGCCACTTGGGGGTAAAGGGCTTTTGAAGCTCAAAAAATGAACAGGAAGGATGTAGCAGAACGCCCTGAAAAGAATACAACAGATTGAAGAGCACTAAGTAGTATCTTGAGCCTTCCTGCCTAAGTTTTCTACTTCCTTGTTATTTTCCCTCTACTAACAGAATCTAGATTTCTTTTATGAGATTGACCTCTTTTGGAAGTGTTGGACCCTGGAAGTCTTGTTAGGGCTATCAATTAAAGTGCTTGCCTCCTCTACCCTAAGTTTCCCAGGACTCCCTCAATCATTTAAAACAAACAAACAAACAAACAAACAAAAAACATTTGGGACTGATTCACCACTGAGCTATTAATTTCTCCTATGTAAATCCCAGGACAATCTTGGCCCCCAACTTTTCAAAGTATGGTTTAAGTTTATGTCTAATCCTGTGAGTTACCCAATACTAGATTTTATTAAGTACAACCAAAGTTGAAATCCTGTTGTTTGCAACCAAGGGAACCCTACTTGATACAGGGTAACTGCTCTAATAAAGAGCATGACAGAGGCTAAGGAAGCTTTTGAAGGTAGTCTGATATCCAGATACTTTATTTAAAATCATCAAAAGAAACTGCATTAATGACTGTTTAAATTGCTGGCCATGGTACAATTACTAATTAGGATTTCACATTTCTATGAGCTTGTAATGAGCTAACATTTTTTATGGCTAGGCTGATGACGTTTTGTCCCTACAAACTCTATATGGAGGTCATCTTCTTATCTCCATGACAGAAATAAAAACAAATGAGAACGAACTCAAATAATAGGGCATGGCATGCTACAGGATGAAATCAATGAGGGAGTGTTGAGCATAGCGAAGAATGTTACAGTGAATTTTTTTTTCATTTAATTTGTTTATGACTTTTTAAAAACTCCATTTATGAAATTCAGCTATACTAGGCAAACCACATGTGGTGACTATTTCAAGAAAAAGATAAAGCAAGTAGATAATGCAAGGAGAAATACAGTGGAGCACTAAGAATTCGGTGAGACATTTCAACAAATGTCTCAAAAAATGCAAAGCAAAAATGAGAGACAACTGCTGATGTACAAACAAACCTAACAAGTGCTTGAAATGGAAAATTAATTTTTTAGCTAATCTTGCCTTCTAATTTTATATATGAGGCTTGATGACCCAGGGAGATGAACTGATTTGACCAAAGCATGCGAGGGTAGATTTCCTGCATGGCTCAGATGAGGGAATCTCTCTTTTTATGAGGAGAATGTTTAATTCCTGTTCAAACTGAATGTCAGCAATATAACTTAGAGAATAAAGAATAAGATTCTCTTAACTATATGCATGAGAATTATATATATAAGAACCATTTGTAATATGTGTAGTAGAATGTATAGTATCCTATTACATGTTCTATTGCTTGTAATAGAACATAGATTAGTGACATATATGCATATATGTTGTTTTTAAAGTTATCTCATTACTTTAAAAAATATTATAAAATTAAACTTTTAAGAAAAGATATCCAGATAATAATCAGGACAAAGCCACTTAATGTTTATCTTTAATATCCAAGTGTTTTGCAAATATGATAACCAAGTAGAATCAGAAAATTCAGGGTGTCTACACTGCCACACAGGTTAGTTTAGCAGTTACTCAACACCTCGGCACTGCGGACATTCAGGCAGGGTAAGTTCTTTGTTGTGGAGGCTGCTCAATGCACTTATGGGATTTGGCAGTATCCCTGGCCTCTACCCACAAGATGCTAACAACATGCCAGTAGCACCCCCTAGTTACAACAGTCAAAAATGTGCCCTGACATTGCCAAATGTCCCCTGGCAGGGGTGAAGGGCAGAGCTGCTCCCTGGTTAAGAAACCAGAGACATCAGGGACTATAATAAAACAAAATCAATTTCCAGCTGAAGGAATCTATTGAAAAGCAAGCTGTGATTAGAATTATATTGGTACTTTAGCTCAAAATATACCATGGCTAGAATCATCTTTCTTTTGTGGCAAGATGACCTAGCTGTCTAATACAGTAGTTATTAGCCACATCTGGCTATTAGCACCTAAAATATACCCACTCTGAAGTGAAATGCTGCAATAAGGACACAACATAGGCTGGATTTTGAAGACTCGATATGAATATATTATTGCAAGTAATTTTACTTGCTCCTTTTAAATTTGATTCTAAATTACATAGGTGGCTCCTATTCTATTGGACAGCCCTGGTCTAAAAACTTGAAATAATTTCATATTTTTATTTAATAAGATAAAAGTCTATCAAATAAGCCAAAAAGATTTGGAAGGCTTTCCCTTTCAACAACCCTATGAAATAAGCTTATTTTTGAGCACTATAATTCTTTATTGTCACGTCTAAATGTTTTTTCTGCTTCTTTAAACCAATTATTTCTATTCCAATGCTTTACTCTCAGTGTTTCCATGGTCTCTTTTCTGGCTGTTGATTTGTCTTCATGCTGCACATCACCATTCTCCTGCACATCGGTTTCTTTCACACACTCAGGAGCTTTCCTCATGGGACGCTGAGATGTAGCCTCCATCATACTTAAAAAATCATATGCAGGGAGAGGGGGTTTCCATTCCTGAGCAGGCAAAATTTCTGGAAGGAAGATGCAAGGGTTAAAGATAAAGAGATATAAAATCATCACATGAATGAATATACTAGAAATAAAAGTATACTTCTAAGATATCAGTTTCACTTATCAAGGCAAAACTACTTTATTTTACATTCTCTAAGAAATTTGATATATCTGTCATTATTAGCCATTTAAAATTTTTTTTTAATTTTTATTTTTTGTGTTGCATTTATAAGCTACTGTATTATAAAGTCGAGTATTAATAGGAAAACAAAAGGCTCAGAACCTCATGGCCAATTCAAGTTTGTTGAGGTCTGAAGAAATAGCAATATGTATATGACATTATATACAGAGAGGTACAAGTTAAAATGAAAACATCTCCTGCTTTCCTCCTTGTCTCTGTGAATGTCTTTATTCCAAAGAACTGTAACTGTTTTTTATGAATCATTCCAGAAAAAAAAATTGGAACATACTTAGACAGGTACTTTCTCACATTTAAAGTATTCTCCACTTTTGATTAATATCCTTTGCAAATAGTTTATGGAAATAATTATAAAACTAAAGACAAAAAATAGTTTTAAATTGCTTCAGAATCAACTCTATTATAAACAGTATTTGGGTAATTTCTTAGGTGGCTTCATGACCGTGAATCCCAGCATTATTTTAAAACAGTGGTCACTAGAAGTGAAAATGGATTTAGCTGATAACATATACATAAGATAGATGTAGCAAACAGATTACATAAAACAATTTGAGAATTTAGTTGCTTGTTCAAAGTACAATTTTGAGAAGTAAGCTAGGTAAGGGAAAAATATTTTAAGAAAACCTCATAATGCACAAACTCCAGAATCTCTCAAATAAAATGCTTTAAAAGTTTAGGAAATTCATTTAAATCCCAATTTTCTAGTGTGGATTAAAGAGCACAAATAAAAATCCACCTAAATTTGTATACAGTATATCTGTACTCCATTATATAAAATCTTAGTACATAGATGTTACTATCGGCGAATTAAATTTAGGTTGTGCCTATAACTGATGTTTCAAAATTATAGTGTTGCAGGTACAAAAAAGACAAATGGATAAAACATCTTTTTGAATATAATGAATAGGCAAAAATACCATAATTTTTAATGTATGCATCAAATATCTTAAATTAGGGATATTAAAGCATCTTTAAGAAAATCCAAATTTAAAGCACAGCAAATAATAGCGATATTTATTTCTTACTGTAAATATTGCTACTTGATGGCTCATCATTCAAGACAATTCCAAATGCCTAAAACCAGACATCTCAGTTCTACTAATTGTTTGTTTAGGGAACTCTACAAAGGTCTTAATATTTTCAAATGCAAGTAAAATTCTACTCTTATCAGATAAAGTTAATAAAAACATTATTATAAAGTTAGTAATGACAATAGCTAACATGTTTTTGAGGGTTTACTATATACATCAGGTAATATTAATTTAATATTTATAATCCCAGGAGTTAAGTATAATTATTAACCCCAATTTTATAAAAGAGAAAATTAAGAAAAAGGTCAAGAATTTGACCAAAATTAAATGTAAATTAGAGCTCAGCTTGCTTCCTTTTAGCTACAGATGTTACAGGAATAACTTAAAAACAGGAGCAATGACACAAAGAAAAAACGCAAACCTCTCAATGGGAGAGTTGACAAAGACATTATTAACAAAATCACAATGGAAGACATCCATCTCTCAAGAAATTCAGAAGAAAAATTCTGATGCATTCCATAGATTAAAAAAAAAAGTAGAATTATATGTAATGTTTTGATATAAAAGAGTAAAACTTACTGATATGACTTTCTAGTCCTGCTTCTAATTTCTTAAGCCACAATAAAAGGTTTTGTTCCGTTACAGCCTGATCTGAAGGAAATGCGAATACTTGTCCACCTGAATGCAAATTCACAACAACAAGAAGAGGAAGTGGAGGCAGCCTGTCAAAATACACCTGCAAGATTTCTCTCCCCACAGGAGTATTCTTGCTATAAAAGGAAACATTGAAAATGTTAATACTTCTATAATAAAATTTTGAAAACAATAGCTTGAAGAACATTACACTTTAAATATATTATCATATTAATTTTTACTTTATGAAAAGATGTTTGTAAAACCCAGAGGTCTCCAAGTAAAAATGATTTTTTAGCAGAAGCCATGCATTTCTCTTAGTAGAAAAAATGATAGTCAGTGCCAGTTTTAATGAAAAAACAGGCACAGTTCAAAGGCTTGTCAATTTAGGTTTGATATAAGAAACACAGTCCTTCCAAAGTTACTCTACTGTATTTGTCAAAAGTTTTTCTATGGACATCAATTACTTTTATAATCAACGAATTTATTACTTAGAAAAACATTGAGCCCAAAAGCAAAGGCAATAAAAAAAAATAAACAAATGGGATCATAAGCAAAACTAAAAACTTCTCTGCACAGCAAAAACAACTTTCAAGAAAATAAAAAGATAACCTACTGAATGGGAGAAAAAAATATTTGAAAAACATATGAGGGTTAATTTCCAATCTATATAAATAACTCAGAAAACTCAATAGCAATAACCAAAGAGATCCATTTTAAAAATGGGCAGGGGAACCAAACATTTTTCCAGAGAAAAAATACAAATGGACAATTGGCTCAACATCACTTAGTACTGGGTAAATACAAATCCAAACCACAATGCAAGATCACCGCAGACCTGTGAGAATGGCTATCAAAATAGACAAGAGGTTACAAAAGCACTGAAGAGGATGTGGCTAAAATGGTTGAGTGTGGTGGTGGTGAAAATGTAGGCTGGCCCAGCCCCTGTATGAAGATTTTTCAAAATATTAAAATTAGATGTTCACGTGACCCAACGATTCCAGGTCTGGGTATATAGCCAAAGGAAATTGAAAAAGAACATTGAAAGAGATCCCTTGTTCCCTTGTTCAATGCAGCATATTCACAAGCAGCAAGATACGGAAACAACCTAAGAGTGTATCAACAAATGAGTAGTGAAAGAAGATATGGCTTTCCTGTGCAATGAAATACTATTAAGTCATGAGAGAGAAAGGAGTATTGCCATTTTAATAAAATGGATGGACCTTGAAGGCATTATGCAAAGTAAAATAAGTCAGAGAAGACAAATATTGTGTGACATCATTTATATGGGAAATCTAAAAAAAGGTCAACTTCATAGAAGGAGTAGAAAAGTGATTACTGAGGGCTAGGAAGTGAGGGAAATAGAAGAGTTTAGTTGAAGAGCACAAATTTTTAACTATAAGATAAATAAGGTCTGAGGAACTGATGGTGCTTATATTTAATAATACTGTTCTGTATAATTGAAATTTGCTAAGAAAACAGACTTTAAATGCTCTCCAAATATGTATGCATACATACATATGTACATATATGTATAGTGTATGTATGTGTGGTGATGTATATGTGGATGAGTATACATATAGTGATGGATATGCTAATTAACTAGGTGGTAGGAATCCTTTAACAATTTATATATAGCAAGTCATCACTACTACACTTTAAGAATTTTATCATAGAATCTAAAACAAGATCATATTAGACCATCTGAGGGAATTTAATTACTAAAATGCATGGAAATATACATTGGTTCTATAACATTAACCCATGATAGATGTAGAGAGTTTCATTAGTGGCAATGTCATAATAATTATACATTAATTACCTTTACACATTAAAAAAATCTATATACTTACATATTTAACCAACAAGGGGTAAGTGAATCCAAGTGCTGATCTTTTACCAGCGTCAATATTGCTTTTTCATATTGAGGATTTATGTTACCATCACTGAATAAAATAAGTAATGGTTTCTGAAGTCTTAAGTATGTGGGAAGATTTTCCACAGTGATTTCTGGCTGGAAAAAAAAAAAAACTGTATCAGATCAGCCAACATACAGAGAATAAATGAAATTCATGCCATTTTTGTTATTTGTAGCAATATTCACAGAGCTAGAAAGGTTTATGCTGCAGCTAAATAAGCCAGGAGGAGAAAGTTAAATATTGCTGGTGTCACCTATACATGAAATATGCAGGAAACAAACAGCAGGTCAAAGACAAACTTTAAAACCGGCCCTTGAAAGCCCAACATAGAACTGGGCATCCAAAGGGGCTGGGGGAGGGAGGGGACAAGGAACAGGCTGGAGAGAGAGCACAGCTCACTCTTTGGGGGGGGGGGGCTGCTTTGCTGGTGGGTGTGCTGTGTAAGGTGGCTATACCTGAAGAGGGAGATCCCACACTTCCAAAAGCTAACAGCAGTGTAAACCTTGGTACTTCACTCGGATTTTTTTTTTTTTTTTAAATAAAGACAAGCTGAGCTCTTAAAATCTTTTAATACCTGGCCCTCCCTGCTGGTTCAACAGGTTAGGACGCAGTACTGCAAGCTAGTCGCAGCTGCTTCAGTGCCAGTTCGATCCCCGCCCCAGAAGTGACCCACATGGTGCAGCAGACCTCTCCTGTCTCCCCTGCTGCTCCCCTCAGCAGTGTACTTCGTCAGTCTGCCTGTTCTGCTCCCCACTCTGTCTCTGGTGAAACCTCTCACCACCCCTGCACCTCTGGCCTGCACCCCAGTTCTGTGTGCATAAATAAATCTTTCTAAAAAATCTTTTTAACACCTATGATTACTTAAAATTAAATTTTACGTTCTAATATTATGGGGTTTTTTAATAAAAGACATATTAAAACAAACTTAAAAATCAATCTAATTTCTCTTGGTTTCAAAATAACTGAAAGAGAGAATTTAGCAAGATTAAGGAATCTTATCCTTTTACTCTTTTTATTAAGAGAGAACAGTCATTTTTCACCTGTGGAGGGCAACTTCTCTAGGTTGTTAACATGAACAGGAAAGAGCAACAAACACTGCTACTATATTTAGGAGAAAATATAGCAATGACTTATGATATTAAAGTCTTCAACCATTTTCAATTTTTAGAAATAGAAAAACCTAGAGTAAAAATGAAAACAATGCACAACTTTAAACCAGAGACATTTTATGGTGGTGGACAGGGCAATGGGATCAGCACTGGGATGGGAAGAGTGCATGGGACTATGGTGAAGGCACATGGGACTATAGTGATGGTGGTGGGAAGCCCATAGGGGTTACGAATGAAATGAAAAATGCACAAAAGAAGAACGATTAAAAAAAAGGCTGAAAAAAAAAGAAATAGAAAAACCTACATTTTATGCAATTGGAAACTGAAGTACAGAGAAGTTAACATGCGGTGAGTAGGGAACTGAGTGAGGAAATGAAACCAGGGAGCCTGAATCTCTGGAATCCAGTTGCTTTAATACCAATGTTCAGCCTAGATTAAGTAGTTCAACTGGCCACCAGCCACACTACTCTCCATGATAAAAATAACCCAAAGACATGTAAACTTTTGGCAGTAGACTAAAGAGGCTGTATGCATAAATGAGTGAACCATAAATCAGAGTGAAATAAAATAAAAACCATTGAATCTCTAGTTTATAGAACATCATACATTCTTTGTGCCAACAAAGCCAGAAAATCATTTGTTATATTATCTTTAACTGATTTAGATTTTCCCACTTCAAAAAACATACTTATTTTCAAGTATACTCACAAATTTTTCCAAAAATGCATTTGTTATTACTTGAACTATGTCCTGAATGTGGGTGTTAACTAACGGAATGCTCTCTATTTTGCCTTCTTTGTGTCTGGCAAGCAGCAGGGCTGGTAGAGGTAAAGCATATTTATTTGATCTGTGGAGAAATGTAGTATTAAAATTTTCAATCAAAATATAGCAAGTCATCAAAAACATTAACAATTAACGCAGAAGATTACAGTGGGGGCAGTGGGCAAATTGGAAGTGTTACCACTAAGTAAAAAATTAATTTTAGACAAGCAATCTTCTATATGAGGCTTTCTGAGGAAGTTCTGGAGCCTTGGCAATGCTAGATTAAAAGACAGCAAAAGATAATCTAGGCAGAATTTTTTTTTATATATAACTTACTCATCAAGTAAATGTCTAAATTGGATTTGAAACACCCTGACTGAATGGTTCAACAACATTTTAGTTTGCCATACAGCTGAGCAAGGAGATGGGCATTTAATAGAAGCCTACAGAGTATGAGCATAGGCATTATAAATTTTTAGTGAATCCTCAGGATAGTTCTATTAAGAAGCCACTATCAGGCCTACCTGGTGGCCTAAGGGCTAAGTGTCAGCACTATCACCACTACAGCCTGAATTCCATCCCCTGGCTGGCTCTGCAGTCTTCCTGTCTCACCTGGTCTGCTCCCCCATCTTTCTCTGGGGAATCTTCTTATCCCTGCACCTCTAGGCTATACCCCAGTTCTTCTACACAAAAATAAAAAAAAAGAAGGAACTATCACCCCTATTTTACAGATAAGGAAACCCAGACTCAAAGTGATGAAATAACTATTATTCTGCTACCTTCTTTTTCAATTGCGTAAAGACAGGCAGAGTATTATTTTACAGATCTATTCTTCTCTATAGTTAGGAGATCAATAAACTTACAGTATCAAAACATCTTCTTTAGAATAAATTCCAATGATAACCCATCCCCTTAGGTAGTTTCCTGCCTCAGTGAAATCTTCTTTTGCTATAAATACAAAAACAGGACAAAACCCAGAAATGTTTAAAATTATGTGTGTTATTCAACAGATGAGCAGGTTTATCAATGGAAGTGATTTATTAATTACAAAGATAAGTGCAGACCTTGTATAACTTAGTTGTTTGAAATCTGTGTTCTTTTTATTTCAGCTGATTACTACAGAAATGTAAATTGATATAATGCAACTATGGCTCCCAAACCAAATACACTCTAAATGTAATTTGTAAGATTTATGGCACTCTAATTATGGAGATTTACTGAATAAATATTTGTTGCTTTTTTATTAATGCTAAGGCAGGTAAATGGAGACAGCTGACCTACATACGGTCAGGATAGAGAAGCAGGTACGTGACATAATATACACACTATAATCACAAAATATTAAAGTGTCGATACATGTAGAAAAAATAAAAGACTAGAAATCTAGTCTTCTGAAAACTCTTTGTTAGAGTTCTGCAATTATGAGGGCTTTGTGTCTTGTGTTTTTATTTCCAGGATCTTCTATAATATGTTTCTGTTACTTTTGATTTTTGATGCATTTGTACATTAGTCTTCATTTGTTATAAGTTACACATACTCAAATTTAAAATTATTGTTTCTGTAGATTTCGGCACACATTTTCATAAATCATAACAAATTTTGGATCATGCTAGTAACATCTTACAACACAAAAAGCAAGTTTGAATTAAATAGCTGTGGAATAATAATGAGAGAACAGCAGAGCTGTACTTATAGATATGATATATCTTTGCCAAGTGAAAGCCAAGGATAGCTCGGCTCACTGCAAGAAGGGAACACAGGATCCAAACAGAAGCAGAAAGATAATGATGGAAGAATTGAGTCATAAAGTACCTTGTAATCTGGGCATGTTGAACCCCAAAGATCCATACCTTAGCAGTCAGCATGTATACACCGTGTGAACATTAGCATTTCAACATCAGGTAACCACAGGGTGATTTTCTTTTAAAAGTATGCATACTTTCCACAAGATTGAAAAACACAATGCATTTATGAAAGGCCAACAGGAACTCATTTACATTGGCTTTAACATGAGAAAGTATGAACCCATCAAAATGTTTTCTTTGGCCAATGCTGCACCAAAGTAGAAAAAAAATTACAAAAAAAGACTTAGTGTCTACACTTCCCTTTCTCAGTTCTGACAATAACTGATTATCTACAGCAACTACATAACAGAATCTGTTTCTGCTTACCTTTGTTTTCTAAATACAACAGAAAATTACACTAGAATTGCCACATAATCGCTTCACACAGAAGAGGCCTTTCTACTCATGAATATGTTTCGTAAGGCTCTTCATGAATCCACTTATTCATAAATCCCATCCGTGTGGGGTGGAAGTGTACACATCAGGTGCATATCCCTTTCCAATAAATCAGAATGTAAATTCTTCCCTGAACATTTAAAACCAGGCATGTTCTGGGCCCTCCTGGTGGCCCAACGGGTAAGGACACAGCACTGCAAGCTAGCCAGAGCCACTTCAGTGAGAGTTCTATCCCCAGCCCCGGAGGTGATCCAGAAGGCACAGCAGACCTCCCCTGACTGCCCACTGCTCCCCTCAGCAGTGTACTTCGTCAGTCTGCCTGTTCTGCTCCCCACTCTGACTCTGGTGAATCCTCTCGCCCTTCCTGAACCTCTGGCCTGTACCCTAGTTCTGTATGCATAAATAAATAATCTTAAAAAAATAAATAAAATCAGGTATGTTCTTCTCTTTGGTGAAAACTGTATCAATCAGGCAGAATATATAGCAACCCCAGACATAAGGAAATATTCAATTATCTAATAAAGTTTTTTTTTAAAGATTTATTCATACAGAACTGGGGTACGGGTCATCGATGCAGAGGGTGAGAGGATTCACCAGAGACAGAGTGGGGAGTAGAACAGGAAGATCGACAAAGTACACTGCTGAGGGGAGCAGCGGGGGTAGGGGGTGTCAGGAGGTGTCTGCCGCGCCGTGTGGATCTCCTCCAGGGTAGGCGGGGATCAAACTCATGCAGAAATGGTTTAAGCTTCTTAGTGCTGTGCTTTAACCCACTGTGCCACCAGGGAGGGCCCTAATAAGGTTTGTTAAGCCACTGTAAAAGTATTTGGGGTATAACAGTCATGATGATCTACAATATTTTGGTGTTTAGCCATAAATAATTTAATTGCAGACAAGAGACAATACATTCATTTAACATTACTGTTTTTTTTCCACTATTACTATTGAATAGTCTTATTTATACCTACTTTTAAGATCTACTTTTAAACACTAGATCTACTTTTTTTTATGCATACAAAACTGGGGTGCAGGCCAGAGGTGCAGGGGCAGTGAAAGAATTTATCAGAGACAGAGTGGGAGCAGAACAGGCAGACTGACGAAGTACACTGCTGAGGGGAGCAGTGGGCAGGTCAGGAGTGGTCCGTGGCGCCATGTGGGATCACTGTCGGGGCTGAGGGTTGAACTAATGCTGAAGTGGCTTTAGCTTCTTAGTGCTGCACTTTAACCTACTGCACCACCAGGAAGGTCCCTAGATCTACTTTTAAGTTGTCAGCAGAAAGAATAAAGTAAGACTACTGCAAGTAGAATCCAATCCTAAAAGCAATCCAAACTCTTAGATCTTTGCTTCTATTTAAGATTTCTTTATACATACAGACCTGGGTACAGGCCAGAAGGTGCAGGAGCAGTGAGAGGCTTCACGAGAGACAGAGTAGGGAACAGAACAGGCCAACTGACCGAGTCACTGCTGAGGGGAACAGCAGGCAGGGTAGGACAGCTCTGCTACACCATGTGGGTCACCTTCCTGGTTGGAGATCAAACTTGTGCTTAAGTGGCTATGGCTAGTTTCTTAGAGCTGTGCTTTAACCCACTGAGCCACCAGGGAGGGCCCAGGATAGAAAGACCTTATGCCAAAGGACATATTAAAAGAATCAGGCATAGAAATCAGAATGAAGGGGTGCTTACCAACCAATTCTGGGACAATTGGAGCAAACTAACGATAGTAACTGATCATCACCTATTGAATAAAATAAAACTTGGGGGCCCTCCCTGGAGGTGCAATGGATTAGGACACAGTACTGCAAGCTAGTGGCAGCTACTTCAGTGTGAGTTCGATCCCTGCACCAGAGGTGATCCACATGGCGCAGCAGACCTCTCCTATCTCTCCTACTCCTCCCCTAAGCAGTATACTTCTATCTGCCTGTTCTGCTCCCCACTCTGGCTCTAGTGAATCCTCCCACTGCCCCTGTACCTGTGGCCTGCACCCCAGTTTTGTATGCATACATAAATAAACCTTTTTTAAAAAAAAGAAGAAGAAGAAGAAGAAGACTTGGGTAACCATAAACAAATGCAAGGCAAAGTTCTTTCTCACAGTAATATGCCAATAAATAATGTAAAGAAATTATAAAGCTAGAAAATTTCCACTTGGCAGATATTACAGTAATAGTTTTTTGAGCAATGGATCTAGAAATGGAATACAAAAATACAATGAAAACTGAGTGACTCATAGTTTTAAATTATCTCACCATAAGATATTTATTAATTACAAAAGAAAAAATATAGTTACTTTCCAGATTTCTAGCCAATCTACCAGTAGACAGACAATAAAGAGACATTTTTGTCCTTATAGAAATCACATCATATTAGTCTTCAAACATTAAAATCTATTTGAATAACAAATCACTATCTGACCTAAAATAAGTGCCAAACAGATAACAGCAGTTAGCTTTTTTGACACACAATCATATACATATAAGTTAACACATTCACAATAGCCTTTCATTGTCATACATTTTCTCATTCAGTGGACACTGAAAGACTAGCAACCATTATGCGAATGTCTGCAAACAAACAAACAAACAAACAAGAAGGGAAGAGGACCTAATAATACCTGACTGGAAAGGCTGGGAACAATCAATTGAATTAATAAAAAGATCGTATCCAGATGCAATCATTCTGGATCACTAGAATTACCTATATATGAATTAAACATTATGCTTTTGACTTCAGTAGAGAGGTAGTTACATGCAAATGTCATCATCATTTGTACAGAAATATGACCAAATGGGCACCTATGTTGACCTCCTATATAAAACAGTATGATAAATTTCTCACAGCACTTACCATCAAGGAGTTTTCTGAAAGTGAGTCAGCATCCTAACTCTAAATTGCCATTTATTAAATAATGATGATTAAGATGTTAAAATTTCACCATTCTGTTTCTGTTCTTATCAGATTACTTAGGGTGAAGTTTTATTATCAATACCTGTGTTTTCTAGGTAGTCTATGTAATTATTTCCTACTTTTTCATTGCTTGGTTTTTATCTTTGTTTGAATGATTTTATTGTATTTGTGCTTTTTATTATCTGAAGACTAATTATTTTTTGAAACATGCCTAGTGTAAATAACAAGTGAAAACTTCCAGGCAACAGTAGGTTAGGTAGATAGAAGGCAAAGTCAACCGTGGGAACAAAAACATTAGAAATGGAGAAATAAAACACAGGCTCACCCACTGCATGATTTTTCATAAAGACCACAAAATAAAAGGCTATGCTCACCACGGATTTTGTCTAAGAAGATAAACCATAGGATACACATTAATATTCTCAGCATTTTTTCCAGTAAGTTCTTTTGGCTTTTACTTTAAAAGATATTTAACACCAGGTAGAGGGGGCAAATTACCATACTTACATTTGTAGTAGAGAAAAATGAATATGTAGTTAATATTATCCACTCTAACACAAATAGTCACAAGTGCTAGACAGGGGAATCTCTTCTTATACCAAAATTCTTTAAAAATTTTCAGTCAGAATTTGAAATTCATCTTAAAGAAAATAAAAAGAAGGAACAGTGATGGCTCACTGAGTAAGAATGTTTGCTGGGTGACAGTCAGCATAAGAAACACTAAGGGTTTTGTACCCAGTGAAGAGGCAATCCATAAGCAACAGCCAAAGAAGAGCATTTTCAGCAATACTACAGGTCAGGAAAAAAAAAAAAAAAAAACAACTGCTGTGTAACTTCCATTTCAGAGTAAAATGTGTAGACAAGACATTCCTATAAAGCAAGAAATAAACACAAAGAGCAGGAGTCTAAGAAAATATTAAGTGATAAAGTGAATGGCACAGCAGTTCACTCCAGTGTATTCTTTCATTGGCACCATAAATTTGATTTTCAGGCTACAAAAAAATTGAAAGACTGGTAGCTAGCTATCACCAGGCAAAGAGCATAAAAAGAGCCTAGAACACAAAGCCAAGTCTTGCCAAGTAGGAAAAGAAGAGGGCAAATGCAAGGAAAAACAATTGAGAAGACACGGGAGTAATTACATATACAAGTGTCATTAAAAAACTGATAAAGTGAAAAAACAGAGGCTAGTAAGTGTTGGTGAGGATGTTGGAGAAATCAGAACTTTTGTACACTATTGGTGAGAATGAAAACTGATAAAACCACCATGGAAAACAAGGTGCTTCAGAAAGTTAAAAATTGAATTTGCATATGACCCAGCAATTCTAGGTATATATCCAAAGGAATTGAAAGCAGGGATCCAAAGAGATCATATGTGCATCCATGTATAGTGCAGCATTATTTATAATAGCCAAGAAGAAGTGGAAATAAGCCAGTGTCCATCTACAGAAGAATGGATCAATAAAATGAAGTATACGTATTTGTCCTTAAAAAGGAGGGAAATCCTAAGAATGTTAGAACATGGGTGAGCCTTGAGAACATTACGCTAAGTGAAATAAACTAGTCACAAAAAGACAAATACTGTGTGATTCCACTTTTATGAGGTACCAGAAGTGCTTGCCAGGGGCTATAGGAATGTAGAATTGTTGGCTAATAGGTATAGTGATTCAATTTTGCATGAAAAGCTTCTGAACAACAATGTAAATATATATTATATTAGTTAACTATACGTTTTTACATTATTAAGATGGTAAATTTTTTGAATGTGTTTTACCACATTTGAAAAAAGATAAATAATATTCAAAGCAAGAAGACAATTATTAGAGTAGGACAATAGTATAAATGAAAGTGAAATGAAAATATAAGTGAATATTAAGGCTGACAGATTATTAGCTAAAAGCAATGGAAGCACTCTCAAACTCAACAGATTTGAAAACAAGTTTTAAACTGATACATATAAAATTATTATTAAAGTTAAAAAGCAAGCAATGAAATGGGGGAAATGATCTGAACAAAATGATAAAAGCATAACATCCGTAAGTATATACTAAAGCTCATAACTATTCACTAACAAACAATAAAACTCCATTTTTAAAGTAAATAATGTATATAACAAAGTTTATAGAGACAAAGCTATTCTCCCATGGAAAGTTATCTACTAGCCTCTAAAATCTACACAAAGATTCATAAAAGTATTTTTAGAAGCAAACTGGGAAAAAGGAAAGAACATAACTATTATTTATTGGTAAATAATATTATTTATTGGTAAATGAATAATGGTTTATTCATTAAATCAAACATTATAATATAAAATTTTTGAAGACATTCATCACCTGGAAAAAAAATTGCACTTATATAATGTAAAGTAAAAATAGCAAGATACTAACTTAGAAGTAACCTGATTATATTAAATGTATATATTCAATATATAGTACACAGAAAAGAGGGAAGGAATCACATCAACATTTAACAACTCTAAATATTTAGATGATAGCTTTTGATTTTTTCAAACGTTTCTCTATTTCCAAATTCCCTATAGTGAGTTATCTATATTTAAAGCATTTTAAAACTAGCTAACAACATTTAACTATATATTGTATAAATTAAAAGTTCAATTCCACTTACCTTTTGTCATGGTTGGACTAAATAATCCCAGTACTGACACACTAGAATAGGACAGCAGATCTTTATATAATTCCCCACTTAAATAGTCTTCTGCTTCTTGGACAGATGTTATGGTCACCGGACATGAAATCCTGTTACTAAATGAATATTTAACTACAATCAAATTAATTTTGAAAGAAACCTTTCAGCTGGTAAAAAACAACATTGAATCTATCAATCTCCACTTTCACTGGATTAATATCTGGAGAAATTAAGACAATTATATACTACTCTAAACAAAAAAAAATTACCCTCAATAGACAAAATTTCTATCACCCCAAAACTGATGGAATGTAGACAGGTTCTCCTTATTGCTAATTATCCTTTCATCTCATTTTTCACCTATTCAGTGTATGTCAACAAAGTAATGGGAATTAGACTTTTATAGATCTAAATAACTTAAAAGCTTAGGGTGTGGCTGAATACTTACAGGTGGATAAATTTTAGGAGATCTTCAGTTCCTAACATACCAGCATAAGATATTGGCTGCTTGCCTTCCTTATATATCTTTACAACAGGAAATTCAGTAACATTTTGCTTAGTACATATATCAGTCCAATCTGCACAGTTTACTCTAGTAAGCAGCATAGTGGATTGGCCTAAATAAAAGGAAAATGCACTTTTATAAATGTTAATGAAGAAAACTCAGTCATTGAGAATCATTAATATTTTTATTTTTATAGCCTCAAGTTCTCAGCAATATAAAACACACCTGCTAACACTCTTGCCCCTTGATTTTTGCAATACCTTTCCCTTCTTTCCCACTTTTCTACCCACTCTTGTTTGGTCCCTTTTGCAGACTCTTTGCCAGTCAAAATGGCAGTTCTTCAAGGTACAGCTTAAGCTGCCCTGTCTTCTTAGACAATCTCAATAACCATTAACAATCTAAAATTTTCACCCAGACTCCTCTGTTAAGTTCCATATTGTTTCTCTATTTCCTCTTGCTTAGTAGCTAAAACTAGATATTGTTTCCTTCCTGTGTATATTGATGAACTCTGCTATTCCTGTAGAACTCAAAAAATAAAGTATTATGTTTCCCACCTCCCCACTCCTAAGCCTCTAGGTCTAATAAAATCAAGTTACATATCCTTTCAACACTACCATCTAAATTTTAGTTATCTCTTCATCTGTCCATTTCTCTTTACTAACCATCATTTCTTCTGGATACCTACAAAAGGCTTCTACTTCATCTCCTGATTTCAATGTTTCTACACTGAAGCCTGCGATATCTAGGTAGAATTTGGTATGCTTCTAAAATGAGTTAGCGACAACTTTTCGAAACTCAAATATGTTTTGTTGCCAGCTCATCCCACCAGTGTGTGGTCTTTTTCATCCTTTCAGATCTCTGCTATGTGACCTCTCCACGGAAGACTTCTCAGACACCCTCATTCTCACCATGGCTCGATGCTCTTAGAGAACTGTGCTTCCTCCCTTATCTCATTATGTAATTATGCATACATCTGTGTGATTATCTGATTAATGGTTGTCTCTACCTACTCCTAAGAGCAGGTGCTGTGTCTGTTTTCTTCATCATTGATTTTCCACTATCCGGAAGCAGTCTGTGTATTCACGTTATGGAGGTGAGTAAATAACACACTTCAAACTCACACTTAAAACTTAGGACTTCAGGTACCCATTCTGTCTATAAAATATAATTTCCTCACAACTTAGGAAAATGCATACTAGAATCCCAAAGAGAAATTCCTACTTGTTTGTTAACAGACTATGTAAAGTTCTCCAAAATATGATTTCACTAGGTAGGAAAGTTACATTAGGATGTAACCTAATCATAGTATTAAAATTATGAAATGCAATATTTTAGAATCTTATCAATAAACTTTTAATACTGGAAATTCACTTATATATTTTATTATTTTTTAAAGATTTATTTACTTATTCATACAGAACTGGGGTACAGGCCAGAGATGCGGAGGGTGAGAGGATTCACCAGAGACAGAGTGGGGAGCACAGGCAGATCAATGAAGTACACTGCTGAGGGGAGCAGCGGGCAGGCCAGGAGAGGTCTGCCATGCCATGTGGATCTCCTCTGGGGCAGGCGGGGATCGAACGCATGCGGAAGTGGCTTAAGCTTCTTAGTGCAGTGCTTTAACCCGCTGCGCCACCAGGGAGGGCCCACTTATATATTTTAAACTGTTCTAGATGCAATTATTTATCACTTCATATTTAGTGATAGAAATCTTATTTTCCACTACATGTCCATTATGTATCCACTATGTATACTAAGACAATGTCAGTTCCATAACGTACCCAATAAAAAGGACCCTGATTATTTGTGAAAGGACCCTGATTATTTCTTAATGAACGATTTTCAACTTTTACACAAAAGTCTATCAGTACCTTAATACTGAATATTTACACAGAGAAATCTTCATCCCTTCTATCATCAAACAGGCTAAGTGACTTCACTACCAAGTTCTCTTATCCTTTTGTTTAATCATTTAGTCAATAATACCATGATGCTTGTTCATACAGAGTACCGTATCATATTACCACCCAACTATGGAATACAGTGTAATTACAAATGTAGTTCTTTCCCATTGGTAAGCACCTATAACAGGCTACCACTGCAAAAAGTTTTATGCTTCTTTTGTCCCTGAAGTCCAAGTAGAAAACCTTGATGTTATCTTTAAACTGAAAAAAAAAAAAAATACTGATATATACCACTAAAATTAATAGAAGTTAGTGGTTTGATATTTTTACTTTCTGTCCTGTAAAATAGTTTAATGTTCAATCATTTGAATTTTTATTACATTCCATATACTTTATCAATGCAGTACTTTCAAATGGGATTCTTAATTTAAAGGGAAAAAAGAGATTCTCTTAGTTACAGAAACTAAGTATTTAAAAAAAAACTTGACATTTGCTGCCACCTTGTGACTAAAAATAAAATAGTCTTCATCATCTTGAACTAAAAGATGTAAAGTGGCTTTTCCCCCCAAGTATGAAAGGTTTAGGACTAAATATACAAACTATTACAATATTTTTCTAATTCACAAAGTTGTAGGATAGTTTTCAATTTAGACATACAACACTGTAGGTAGCTTTTCTATGCATTTCTACACTGAACCCCTTATACTTCGAAAATATTCCACTTCTCTAAAATTTAACTAGTAAAAGATTATAAAAAGAAAACCAAGCCCTAAGCTGTTTATCTGATTTTTCATTCTATATCCACATACATCCACATACAAATCAGTCATTGTACTAAAAAATCAAGTAGTCTTTCTTATTTAGTCGTTAAACTGAAAAAAGTAAAAGAATCTTTTTCCATTTTCATTTATTATCTAGTCAAATGGGTTGGGGAAAAGTTATCAGTAAGCTACATTATCCAATTACTATTTCATTATGGTTTCTGTTTTCATCCTCCTTTGACTTTCTTCTGATTACAGGCAAATAACACTGGAGAACTTAAAAGAAATTTTTAAATGTCCATAGACTGCAACTATAAAGGAGAATCTGAAAGCGAATAAGAGGATTTGCTTTTTTAAAATGTTGGGGTCACTCTTAGTCACCACTTCATTTGGGTAATGAAATAATCAAAAGTTGGATCAAATGTGATTAGGAGTTGAATGTAAGAGAAATAGTTCATAAACTATTTTTTAAATCTCTAATTTTATTACATTTAGGGTTGATCTTCTAGAATTGATTTCTTGACTCATAAAAGTCCTCAACAAATAAGTCATATACCAGTATGTGCTTTCTACTAAATAAAACAAAATTTATGAAAGTCTACTGTATTAGCTTTTCACTTAGTCAAAAATGATAAAAAAAAACAAACAGATATTCTGCAATGTAAGATAATGCACCAAGTCCAGCAAGCTAGATAGAAAGAAGGTCCACTAAATAATAAAATAACCTATAAACTAGTGTCAAAAAAAACCACCAAAATGGTGGTAGATACATTCCTAGAGTAACAAAAGAATAAAACTATTTAGCCATAATAGATTCTATTTATAAGAAAAGCAAAGTAGGAGGAAACCATATCAAAGACATAAAACAATATGTTGTGTGTTACTCAAATGCTTATAAAACATTATGCAACACCTAATCCATCATTATTTTTCTCACTAACAGGGGTCCATACTTCTCCCTATGTCTCTGTTGAGTTGGGGGGTATGGACATTTTGATTTACAGTCTATTCCTTGAATTATTTGTTCACAACTGATTCAAGTTTCACTAGACAGCTAAAATGAAAAGATCCTGGCCAATAAAAAATATCCTAAACCATGAAGAGTTAATTAAGTGTATAGCTTCAAGAGCACTGAGATCGTGGTTTCTCGTTGGCCTAAGTGAGACTAGGTCTTACCTGTCACATTTTTCTTTTACAATAGTTAGTATTTATTTAATAGTATTTATAGTAACGGACACAGAGTAGGCATTCAAGATGTTTGCTGAGTGACTGAATTCACTCAAAAAGGTCACTGGATTAACCTGTAGCTGCAAGTATTCAATGTGCTCTCTACATTCTCCTAAAGATAGAAAAGTTCCATGAATTTATTAAACTTGGAGACAAAAAAATAACAAACTGAAGTTTTATATTTAGCTTATTTAGTTTATTATCATGGCAGTTTTACAAATAGTTACAATGTAACACAAGAAAATAAGCATGCCTACCACTGTACAGTACCTTTCAATTTAATTGCCACATCAATATAGGATTGCAGAAATGCCATGGACACTGCTTGCCCTAGATTAAAATAAAAATTCAATGTATTGCAACATGCATATCTCCAAAGCATTTAAAGTTATAAATAACAGATTTGTGGGGTTCCCAAAGTTGTTATTACTTAATAAAAAATTCTAGCATCTAGGACTCAATCTTATTCAAACATGTAAGAAGGTTCCACATGCAACTAATTTTCTACATTCATACTGCAAGGAATATAATTGAAGGGCTATTATTTGAAGATATAGCCAAAATATGAAAACTATAAGAACTATTAATATATTAAAATCACTAGCTTTAATCAAAATCATCTTTCTAAATTAATAAGCTGAACATCTGCCATAATCATTAACCTTCGATTTGTAAGTCAGATATAAATAATCAGTTTTATAACCTCAGAATCAGCTAGAAGGAAATGTTTCAATATATACTTTCTACCTGGGACATAAAAGAGCAATGTCATTTTACAACATGCAATATACAGGATGCAAAATAAAATGTGTCTACTGCAAGTGACCAGTATGTAGTATAATCGCCTCTAAAGGCTCATACTTACAGCCAGCATAGAAAAGCACTATGCTGTCAGAAGTCATTACTGTTGCATTGAATGTCTCTTCTGTTAGTTCCACTGTGAGTTCCAAAGATAACTGTCTCTTCCTATCTCTGTAAACAGTTTCTTCTACTTCATCATCCTGAACATCTAAAATGTCTGAAAAGAAAAAAGTGTAAATATAAACATATGATTAAAATATTTAAATTCTCCCAGGAAAACATATGAAAATTTGGCACTTAATAAAAACTTTGAATTCACAGTATCTAAATATTTAAAATGCATGATATTTAGAAAACTTTCCAGTTTTCTGGTTTCTTATCTCAAATAACATTGAGATGCTTCCTGACCCAGAAACTGCTAACTTTTAATCAGTTCTAAAGCAATTACTTAGAAATGTATGGAAATAATATAATTTTTCCCAATCTAATCAGTTTATTAACTTACTATCCAAAATGGTCCCACCATATTTGACAGTTTTTTTAAATTTATTTATTCATATGGAACTGGGGTACAGGCTGGAGATGTAGAAGGTGAGAGGATTCACCAGAGACAAAGTGGGGAGCAGAACAGGCAGATAGACGAAGTACACTGCTGAGGGGAGCAGCGGGCGGGTCAGGAGAGGTCTGCCTGGCCATGTGGTCACCTCCGGGGCAGGCTGGAATCCAACTCATGCGGAAGTGGATTTAGCTTCTTAGTGCTGCGCTTTAACCCACTGCGCCACCAGGGAGGGCCAACAGTTTTAACTTCCACTATGACTAACGCTGTAAAGATCACCAGCCAAAGTAGTAAACAAAGAAGATATAGTCCCAAACCACATAGTGCTTCTACCTCTAGGAAAATTGGCCAATAACTGATCACTGAATAAATACATAATTATGAAATGTAATCAGTTTATTTTTTAAAAGGTAAAGATACAGTAATATTCTAACAGGAAAATTTTAATTGGGAAATTCAAGATCTACCAGATAGTCAAGAAAAGAATTTTTTTAGGCAAATAGAATAATGCACGCAAAGGCTGTGAGACATAAAAGACTTTAGCATATACTTGATACTAAAGGAAAGCAAATTTGACTAAAATTTATGAGATAGGCTGAAGGAATAAATAACATGAAAAAACTCTAGGCTATGCAGTGGTTAGATCATAAGAGGTCATGACAGTCAAAAATTATTCTAGATTTCATTTTAAATGCATCAGATCACAGGTAGATTTTGAAAATAGTAAAAACTCATGAATTACAGTATATACAAATCTCAAATCATCGAGTTATATACTTGAAACTAAATGATGTCAATATATTGACAAATAGTGTTATTTGTCAACTCTCTACATTAAAAAAAAAATTAAAACAGATAAACAGACCTACCCATTCACCTATTCATCCGTCATCTATGTGTATGGTAAAAAACACATTTTGAATTATAAATATTCTGTTTGTACAAATTAAATGTTGACAGAGAGGGGCATCTAACTTGATTAGGGACACAGTTTCCTAGAAGAGTTGACACTAGCAGAACATTAAATGAAAAATAAAATTTGGGAAGGCTATGAACAGAAGCAGTGGAAGCCTACTGAGCAAACAGAACTGCTCTACAAAGGCAAAGTGGCACAGAAAGAGCACGATGCAAACCAAACTGTGACTATTCACTACATAGCTGATACTAAAAATTATTTTAATTTTTTTCATGTAGTAATAAAATAATTTTAAAAGAAGAATTCTTGTAATCCTGAAATACACAGGGAAAGATGCATGGATAAAATGATCTGATTGAGATTTGCTACAAAATGGTAAAGAGTGGGCAGTAAATGGGATAGGATTATTCCTAGGCCGATGGTGGTTGTTGGCACCGAGTAATAGATACCAGGGATTCTATTAGTTTGCTTTATAGTAAATTCTTCATTCTCTAGGATAACATGTTAAACAGGAAGGGAGTGAGCAAGACAACTTTAGAGAACTAAAGTATTATTTTCCACAGTTTCTAATCTTACACAGAAAAAGACTAGACTCTAGACTTTAGTAGCACAATTCTCTTGCTGTTCATATCTGTGAAGCATAAGTTATACTATATTAATTTTAAGGTTATTTTGAACACTGCCTTCCATGACACTAAACAATATTGTGATTATCACAAAGGAAGAGATTAGGGGTGAGATCAATGGGGTTATTTTAATAGTGATGGAATTGGGACTTTGGTAGTGGGTGAGTGAAGCATATACATGTATAGAAATATGAAACTCTGCTCCCAAAATATTATAGTTTTGTAAATGAATGGTAAATCTATAAAATTTGATTAAAAAATAAAAAGAATCCATTTCTTCACACTTCTTCATAGTCTTGAATCTGAATATACTTTATGATAAAATTAATTCATTGAGATTTCACTGATATTATGGATGCTACGCAGGAATAGGGGGAAGTGAGTAAGCATCACAAAATGTATTACCCATATCTGGATCTTCCATGTCATCATCATCCTCTTCTTGAATTTTCTCAGTATGTATATTGTTTTCCACACGGGATATTATTAAATCAACATCATGTAACACCAAAAATTCCACTGGCATTCCCTGGAGTTTTAAAAAAAAAATGACTAAAACATAACAAAGCATTCTGACATCTTTTACTTGTTTGATGCAAAAAATAAAACTAAACTTTACAGTTTTAAAATAAAAAAGCAAAAAAAGAAATGAATTCCAGAATCACTATAAAAAGCATCAGAAGCATACTATATATAAGGATAGTGGGAATTACTGAAAAAAGATAAAGCAATTTTAAATCTCACTTGTTTCTTGTCAAAACTGCATTATACTTAAGTCACATAATGTTATATGTAAAGTTCACATATAACTAGTCCTGCCTCAATATAAAATGGGAATATATATACATAAATTTATTGCAAACAGGACCAGTCAAAATCATTTTGTTATTCCATAGAAATATTCAAAATAATATTTTATCTGAAATAATTCTACACAATGGTAAATATCTGTTTAACTATAAACATAAAAGTATTATCTCTGCCCCCCACAGGTATTAAATGTCAAATTTATTCCCTTGATTAAATTTCCTTTCACTGATGCCCAGTTATCATATTTTAAGAAAATGAACTTTTAAGGAACTGTAGTATTTTACTAAGTATCCCTGACTATAACTATACATTAAAGCCATAAAAGAACAGTGTTTGTTCTTTGATATCACATAGCTCTACCTTTTTAATACTGTATTCAAAGCAAGCAATTTTTCAGTCTTGCCTAAGTATAATGTAGATACAATGCAGAGGAATCAAAATCAATCAAACTGAGTTTTTTTCACTATATATTGAAAAACTATGGTACACTGTTGTTTTGTTTTGTTTTAAAGATGTATGTATTTATGCATTACAGAACTGGGGTATAGGCCAGAGATGCAGGGGCGGTGAGAGGATTCACCAGAGACAGAGTGGGGGAGCAGAACAGGCTGACTGACGAATTACACTGCTGAGGGGAGCAGCGGGTGGGTCAGGAGAAGTCTGCTGTGCCATGTGGATCACCTCCTGAGCAGGCGGGAATCGAACTCATGCTGAAGTGGAGTTAGCTTCTTAGTACTGTGCTTTAACCTGCTGTGCCACCAGGGAGTGTTTTTATTTTTTTATTAAGTGTTTTTTATTTAAGTGTAAAATTCACACAGAATAGAAGTGGTAAGGTTATATACAGTTTGATGGATTTTTACAAAGCGAATCCACCTTACAGATTAAAATCCAGAATATAAGTACAGAGGCCATCTTCTAGCTTATCCCTAACATTACCCTTCCCCAAAGGTACTCACTATTGTGTCTTTCATCACTCTCTATAAATTTTACCAGTTTTTAATATATCTGATATAATGGAAAGATACAGTTGTGTCTTTCTGTTTAATATTATTTGTGAGGTAGGCCCATGTTGTTACATCTAAAGATAGTTTATTATTTTTTAAAACTATGGAGTATAGGCCCTCCCTGGTGGCGCAGCGGGTTAAAGTACTGCACTGAGAAGCTTAAGCCACTTCCGCATGAGTTCGATTCC